TATATATATATATATGTATATATATCTTTATATATTTAATATAATTGTTATATTAATATATCTAAAAGTCAATCAAAAAATATTAGCTTAATTATCATAAAATTGAATTTTAGATTTATTAACATAAACAAAATTTTTTACTTGTTTTTTATATTGAGATGTATCAATTATAATTTATATTTAAATATCTAATGGTGTTACTTTTTGCGCGCATTTATATTTACAAAATTGTAAAAATTTGCGAAAAATTTCACCATAAAATAATCGAAGAGTAAAAAATAACTAAAAAATAATTTTCGAAGTTACAGAATCATTTCTAAAAAAAAATAAAAATGCTTACAGCAGTTACTTTTTACAAAATTTTACTTTTTGATCTGATTAATTAAATTATATTAGTTAAATAAAGATGCGATTATGATAAATATCGTTGAAATTTAAAATATATAATTCAACAATTTTACATACCAAGAAATTTTACAATTTGCTAAGTATCGCTAAATAGATTTGCTAATTATTTTTAGTGACAAATGGAATTTTAAAAATGTTAGCAAAACAAATAAACAAACATGTTTATTTGTTTTAAATGCAATCTATTTAAAAATTACATGGCGATGTACAGTCGTAAAAGGTAATAACGTAAATTATATATTTTTCAACATTCTTGATAAAGTATGACTTAATACATCATGTATATATTTGGAATTTTATGATCGAATTTAAAACAATTTTTGTTGACAAATAACGAGATAATATATACAGATATTATTATTGACGATTTTGTTACATGTAATCTAATTGTAAGATGAAAAATGTTTAAGAGAGGTAATATTAAAATAAAAATGGTTCTTGCATGGTGCCGACTTGTCCCATGATATATAAATTGAAGAAGAACAAATCATTTTCGCGGAACAAATCATTTTCCAGAATTTAATCATGCGGCGAACCTTTATTCTTGGAGTTAGCATTAAAACGGAATATACGATCGTTTTTCGTATTTCCGATGTCCGGCTGTAGTGCATCGGCACATCCGGCAAATGACCGGTCTCTCTCCGCTTGGCCGTACGCCATCACGGTAAATATCGCCGTATCATAACATAACGCGAGTCGGCGAAATGAAGCGAAAAGCGGATAGTAAGGGAACGGAACCGACGAGGGAGGCGATGGTGGAAAATGGGAAGTGCATAATGCCGCGGATTAATGCGAGTTTCCGTTCGACAAGTCCGTTCCGCGTTTCGTCCAAAATTTCATCTCCTTCCGGATAGACGACGACGTCAGCTAATCACGTCACATTATACCTTCTCGCTTTTCTTAGCTTTATCTATTCAACGGTTTAACATGATTTAATCAATTAAACAAGATTAGAAAAGGTCAAATGCGGTCTAAAGCGATCTTGGCGCTTGGCAATATTATTTTTGTGTGAATTTTAACTTATTTAATCAATTAATTTAACATCTAATAAAGGAAAGCATGGACGTTTCCGATTTCGATGAGCTTTTAATATATTGTATTCAAGATCAAAATATGTATCTTTTTATGAAATGCGTGCTTATACGTATTTTTAGGAGGTGAAATTCTTTGAAAGAAAATTATTTTTGGTTATTTACTTTAAAAGCATATATTTAAACTATTTTAAACTATAAAAATGAAAATTTTTTCATCTTTTATAGTTTAAATGGTATTTGCTTCAAAACAAAATAAAAAAATTTTTTTTGAAGGGACGTACGTTTTACTCCCTAAGAGTGTGATGGGCACATATAAAAATATACGTGTCCCATATTTTAATCTCAAATACAATATATTAAAAGCTATCAAAATGAGAGGGGGACACTTCCATGCTTTTCCTTGTTTGTAATTGCATCAAAAAAAGTCACCAAATGCGAACTAAAAATTTTTGAAAGTTTCTGATTAAACCAATCGACTTTTGTGCATCTTTAAATGTGTTCTAACCATACATATGGTACACAATTTTGTGTTAGTTAACGTCGATTGATTATTACTGGCCGATTTGATGCCAATTTAGAGGACTAAGGACCATAAAAAGAAAGAAGAAAAAAAAGAAGAAAATTTAACATTTTTAAGTAATATATCCGCGATCAAATAATGCATTCGATTTTCGAGAGACGATGTAATTTTGTTGTAAATTTCTAGAACGAAAGAGGTCTTGGCTTCATACATAACTGAAGTTTATATTTATACCTAATTGTTGTAAAAAATCAGTTAAAACTATCGCCTTGAGACGTGACGTACGTACGGTTCAATAGTTGGACCTCGGAAGTTCAATTTCATGATATTCGTGACGATGCGTATATGTATATGATCGCGATTCGCATAAAGAACTCGGATGATGTCTCTTTTGAAACATTATTGTAACTCGATTCTTGCGAGAAAATTGTATGTAAATCTTAATAGTTTTTGAATTTTGCTGAGCGCT